TCATTGTTCTGTATGGCATTCCTTTCCTTTCATAATTTCGGGAGAACCGGATAGAAATCACCGCCTTCAACGATTCTATAATCTCATCGAGAATGCGTTGGGCTGGAACGGTTTTAGCTAAATTTTATGTAGCAATGGCCGTCTCTGCTTACTTCACTATTCCAGATTTCAGACGTCATGTCACAATATAAATTTCGCGCTATCGCCATGTTCCTTCACATTGTACAAAATAAATGAATAGATAAAATTTACAAATTTCTTCTGTGATCTCATTACACAAAATTTCAGTAGCTTACATTCAGAGGCGCCACTATTGTTTCCACACTGGCAATCGATACGGTCATCACACTGATGTTAGTGATGGTACGAAATCAAAAAGTATAAAAGTGACATCCATTGTCATGATGTTAATACAAAATATCACGAAAAATCTCGAATTATTCAAAATTCATTACAGGGTTATGAGACCCATGAACATAGTGAAACATATGTCTATCTTTCCTTGTACGAAGAGTGATCCGGCAACCTTTGCCAAGCTGGCATGTATCGTCTGCTTCTGAAATGCGGTACGGTGTATTGTATTGGTCTGCAATTGATAACATGGCTTAAACTTGCCTTCAGTTTCATACGGCCATGTGTGTTCGAGGTGCATGATACTGGCAGCTGCACAGGTCACTGTTATAGAAAAATATGATGCTTTTTAAAGTGTCGCTGGAGTCAACAAAATAGAGAAGAGTCCCCAACCCTACTCAGCAGGATACATATTTCAGCTTATCGTATTTCACGCTGAAAACAATCACCCAACCGACAATCTCATTACACGACAAGCCATTTTCAGACTGTAATGGCGCAAGGGTTATGTACAAGTAGATATGTTTTTTGGGGTAAATTTGGAATAAGTGTATCTAGACTTTAAGATTAAGAAACAGAAATGATGAAACGTACCAGGAAGCTTGAGTTTGCAAAGAAGTGTAACAGGCAATAGCTTAGTAATCAGAATGTTAGCGCGACAGCGTGATAACGCTGACATTGAGGAAGAAGCTATATGAAGTAGGTCATAAAAACTATGATATGAGGAAAACGCTGAGTCGGAGAGGGCGGTAGACCTGAAAGAGCCAACCCCCTTACGATAAACAGCCAATGAGTGGGCCACACCGACCCAAATTTACGTCAGGATGGGCGGTTGAATACACCCCCGGAACCCAATGAGTTAGTTAAAAGAGGGTACATAAATTCTAGAGAAATTAATCAAAAAACTTTTTAATATTATTAATTGACATAGAATTCAGCCGGAGGCTATCGCCGTGAGAGTGATGGCAATAAGTAGGAGTTGGTTGGTGATGGCGAGCGTCTGTTTCCTCAGACAAGTAAGTGAACCAACTTCATATAGCCATGAACATCAAGTGTGATAATATTAAAGTGCAAACCCCAGGGATAGAAAGTGAAAACTAGATGGACTAGATTTACTGAGAGAGATAGATAGAGGTATTGGGTACCCAACAGCAGGGTGACAGGAGACAGAACTAATGTGTGTACTACAGGGTCATAACCAAATGTAATGCGAACCGACAAACGTCGGCAAAGTGTGTATATTATGTATATAGCGACAGAGGTGAATAGAGTAGGATAGAAATGCGCTGTGATATTAATTAAACCTAGCATTTCCGCAAGTGTTCCCTCCTCCCTGACGACTCCAGCCCTCCCGAAGCTTCGGCGAATTGCGAGTTAAAGCCAGGAGTAGTGACGCAAGCGATCGATAAGTTTGCTTGAGTTTTCTTGACAGAACAAGACGGTGGCAGCATACTAAACCGGGTGACAGCGGGATACGTCCACGCCCCCCTGTCACCACGGCGTAATAGTGGTGGCAGCGGTGGGATACCTCCACGCCACCACGGCGTAACACAGACTACTGTCGAAATTATTTCACAGGCTCAGAATGAAAACAAGTTCTTCAGAAAAGTCGCGGTATCTCTGACCACAGGCAGCAGTTGTAAGGCGCTTCAAGGTTAGAAACCTGTCCTGCCTCATCTTTCAGGACGTCTTAATCAGCCGCTCTTTGACAAACCTCAGCATTTCACATAGTCATAAACCGTAGGCTATAATTGAACTAATTTTTACGGAGTAGAATACTTACTGAGACTTTCATAATAGCTACGTTACTTAAGAAATTTCCAGTCTTTCATAGACCATGCTCGTTCAATACTGCGCTCAAAAGAGCCTGACACTGGTCTCTAACCTGAGCCCGTTGATTCCAGTTAACGCTATCACATCATATTTATTTAATATACAATTTAATACTGGGAAACCGGGATAGTGCAATCGGTATAGCGACTGGCTACGGGCTGGACGTGAGGAGCCGTGAGAGTGCAATCGGTACAGCGACTGGCTACGGGCTGAACGTGAGGAGCCGGGAAAGTGCAATCGGTATAGCGACTGGCTGCGGGCTGGACGTGAGGAGCCGTGAGAGTGCAATCAGTATAGCGACTGACTACGAGCTGGACGTGAGGAGCCGTGAGAGTGCAATCGGTATAGCGACTGGCTAAGGGCTGGACGTGAGGAGCCGTGAGAGTGCAATCGGTATAGCGACTGACTAAGGGCTGGACGTGAGGAGCCGTGAGAATGCAATCCATATAGCGACTGCCTAAGGGCTAGACGTGAGGAGCCGTGAGAGTGCAATCGGTATAGCGACTGACTATGGGCTGGACGTGAGGAGCCGGGAGAGTGCAATCGGTATAGCGACTGGCTGCGGGCTGGACGTGAGGAGCCGTGAGAGTGCAATCTGTATAGCGACTGGCTAAGAGCTGGACGTGAGGAGCCGTGAGAGTGAAATCAGTATAGCGACTGGCTAAGGGCTGGACGTGAGGAGCCGTGAGAGTGCAATCGGTGTAGCGACTGGGTACGGGTTGGACGTGAGGAGCTGGGATAGCGCAATCGGTATAGCGACTGGCTACGGGCTGGACGTGAGGAGCCGTGAGAGTGCAATCGGTATAGCGACTGGGTACGGGTTGGACGTGAGGAGCTGGGATAGCGCAATCGGTATAGCGACTGGCTACGGGCTGGACGTGAGGAGCCGTGAGAGTGCAATCGGTATAACGACTGCCTAAGGGCTAGACGTGAGGAGCCGGGATAGTGCAATAGGTATAGCGACTGGCTAAGGGCTGGACGTGAGGAGCCGTGAGAGTGCAATCGGTGTAGCGACTGGGTACGGGTTGGACGTGAGGAGCTGGGATAGCGCAATCGGTATAGCGACTGGCTACGGGCTGGACGTGAGGAGCCAGGATAGCGCAATCGGTATAGCGACTGCCTAAGGGCTAGACGGCCGAAGGCCAAGAATTTTCTCTTCTCCACGTCATCCAGGCCGGTTCTGGGGCCCAACCAGACTCCTATCCAATCGGTACCGGTGGCTCTGTCACCGAAGGTAAAGCGTCCGGGGCGTGAAGCTAACAACTCTCATAGTAATGTTAACAGAGATATGAGAGAACTGCCGCTGTACTTCGCATCACATTTTGCCTTATATACGAGTACACTATAAAGCATGTAGATTCTGAAGGATTCTGACGAAGGTGGATGACACACAGAATTACTGGGGTTTTGGATTTTTCCATCGTCCGGATTTCTTAGTAATAGAGGACACGACGTTTCGGAAACTGGATCTGTTTCCGTCTTCAGGTGAGAAAGGAAGACACCTAATCAGTTGGGCCCCTTAGAAAGAGCTAATCTCAATCACTGGATTATCACTGATAATCGCTCAATCACAGTGATTGCATAATAGTCCGTTAGTTATCACTATGACAGCGAAGCTAAAGTCTTCTTTCTTATAGACGTCATGTTGTGTGTTATTTGACGTCTTACAAAGTAATTTCCTTATATAAGCCACATATTTTTCAATATATATTAAGTGTCGCTATTCTCACTCCAACCTTATACGTTCGACAGCCCGCCATGTTGTCATTAATGACCGCAGGGAATTATAAAGACGTAGCGTTGCTGTAGTCTCCAACGTCATAAAGTTTACACGAAGGTCCGTGAAAAAGAGATATCTTGGGGGGGGGGGACACACATATAGACATGACGGTGATCTAATAAGCCTATTGTTTGCACCTTGAGGAAGTAAAGTAGTCTAAATGAAGGGTTCAAAGGCCTTCGTGTTGGTCTTCATATCTGGCAATGGTTTGATAAAAAGGCAAATCTGTCCTTGTAATAAGCCGTAAAGGCCCATAAGGATGTGAGGTCGAGACTCCCACATTTTCTCTAGACAGTCGGCTCATAGATGGCAGTAAGGTTGTCAGCCTTAAGCGCCGGCCGCCCTTTACCTCCCAGGAATACTCCTGGTACTCATTTCTGTTACAGCTAAGTCGACCCCAGGGTCGTAGTGCCGCTGGGAGGATTAGGTCAATTGGAAAATCTAATGACTTCATCTGGAATCGGGAACTTCCGGCTTGTAGCACAGTGCCTCAACCAACTACGCTACCAACTGGTCTGATCCTACATCTAAGGAGGCCTACATCTTAAGAGGAATTCTAGAAACTTTGCAATGAAGAATAGGACCGTAGCACTAAGAAAAGTGTTTTCACCTCACCAACGAACCGAAGAACAAGTCTGTTTAAACAGAATTTTGTTGCACTTGTTTGAAAATTGTTATGCAAACAGCAGGCCGCGGGGGCCAGAGGCACCGCTCGAACTCAAATAAGAGATTCGTTAAACTATTTTTGTCGGAGAGATTCCAGTGGTACCGCTCTCTGCTCTATCCGCACATCATCATACAGAGCATGGCCGTCTGCGTGGAAGAGTGGCTTAAGGAGATCATCATGCGCAGCAAATACTCCTTTCACTGTATTCGTATTAAGGGCGGAGTTTCCACAACTTTTGGTTCAAACTTATTCCCCCGCCCGCTAGCTCCTAAGGGGTGGGTGTAGGCAGCCCGCGCACCACCGCTGTTTGTATCCCTGCCGCTATAAAACACCAGTCGTGCGTGCCACCTGACCAGTGCCTGTGTGCAATCAGCCCCTAAACCCGAAGGACATCACGTCGATTCTCTGTCGGTAAGTATAAGGAATGTTTATTTCCTGAATTTCAAACAAAAGAAAACTGAAAATATTGTATTTTGAAATTATTGCAGCCCCCAAGCCTGTATGCCTTCACTGACTTACGCTACAAATTGCAAGGTAGAAATCCTTCACGTGTGTAATTTTACTGGAGCAGCGGACACTTGTCCTGATATGGGTACAAGATTGTCATTCGGTCTCAAAAATGCAGAAATATTGACTCAAATTTCCTTCATCCCGTTCATTACGTCGGGATTATATTAGAATTTGTATAATATTTCGATCATAAACTGGTCAGTATAAATTCAGATATATTTCAAAACATGATGTTTAACAATCACTAAATATTACAAGTTTTTGATTACATAAAATAAATGTACATTAGACGTATATTACACATTAATCAACTTCACCGTCCATGGTAGTTTTCTGAAAAAATAAGGGGAAGATAGATGAATCAGCTATGGACAATATTTATAATAATCCTGTCCATACAACATTATTTTCAGCAGGTGGAGATTTTCTGTCTAGGACATGTTTCGGCAAATGTGTGTCATGTTCTGGTCTGGTATTTAGTTACAATTATTCTATAACTTACTTAGCGTAAATTTTCCATGTAATCAGATTGCTTCTATATGATCTATACAGAATTACGCAAAAGGATAAAAAATATGAATGTACCAGTTCGTTTAAAACAGACTGCCCTTCACACCTGAAAAATCACGACATGTGATTTCCAATTGCTGATTAAATTTTTATAGTCATATTAATCTACTCGATTTAAATAACTTCATACATGATGGAATTTAGCAGTATATCTTCATGAGAGTCCTTCAAATTCTTATTCATAAGTTTCATATCGACGGCCGAAAACGGACAAGCATGCTTGATGTTTGTATTTCATAAATTTCTCTCTTCAAATTATCTTCAATTAACTTCTAACTCATGTGGGGGGCTGCCGTCAGTTTGCTACTGCGAATGTTCTCAACCACAACTTTCTTACTGGAATGCAAGGATGTTCTTGTAGACGCCTGTAACTGCAGCCGGGTCAACGAAACAGTACACACTCACACAAAATTTCACCGTCTGCAGGCCATGGATTGTACGTATGGCAGGAGATCAAGCGGAGGACTTTGAATCTCGCTAATCGTGTCGATTTTTGCTTTGACTCTGCTACGCTAAAAGTCAACCAGACACTGGAGACGGAAACATTTTAATTTTAACTGCCAGAAACTACTTTGTTTGTTAATTATTATTTTGAACATTTCGGGACTGTTGCGCTATTTATCTCCTTCAAATATTAAATATTCAAAAACATTGTTTTTCACAAATGTGATATAAATACTATAAATTCTTCCCTAGAAAATGCTGTTAAATTTTATATCCTGGAAATATGAGCAATTACTTCCGTCCATTATATTGTTACCAACACTGCGACGCTTCATGCGTTACTGCGTAACAATGTGTTCGTTTCAATCAAGTTTTCAGCTTATTCTCAAGAATTATGTACATTATTGCAGAATGCCTTTCCGAAGGAGAAAAGTGATAATACTTCACGCAGAATAATCAACAAGCTTTTAAAATTGATATTAATCACAAGAATATAAGCGAATGCAACATCTACCAGTTCAAATTAAACTGCGATAAAGGCCTATTGCAAAGATTTGTGCATGATAAATTACTTGATCGCCGGTCACGGTAGCCGAGCGGTCTAAGGCATGTACTGTCTTCGCTCGCTCGGAAACCGGGATCGTGGGTTCGAGTCCCCCTCAGGGCATGGATGTTTAGTTTGTGTGTGTGCGTTTTTCTGTGTTTGTGTACAGGCAGAGGCCTTGCGACGAGCTGATCACCCGCCCAAGGAGCCCTATTGAACGTGTATAATCGAGAAAACCGAAGTGAACGGAGAAGTTCGTGGAGGTAGGCCTAGGCCCACTGGGGCTGTAGTGCCAAGGGGGAAAAATTACTTGATCGATAATTATTTCACTAAGTAAGCTTTTTATTACCATAACCGTGGCTTATTTGAAAGTTTTATTCCGAAATTTTCCTAATCACCGCGGAAAACCATGAAAATCAATTAGGCTATCCAATCATCAACCCAGACTTAAACCCAGTACACTGGGATCACATAATATAGGACTCGATATCACGTGGCTACTGAGCTCTCGAGTCTTGACCACTCAAGTCTTATCTCTAAATAAATATCAGTGAAGGAACTTCTGTGGGTTCACATTGTGAGTGAACGGAAGTACTTATAGAGGTGCATGACCACTTATTCGAAGGCTGACGTCATTCTAATGATAGTATAATAATAATGATGTATAAATATTTTTTTTTTTTTTTTTNGAGACTTGGGAAATTACACTGTTTCGGATTACCATAGCAACGAAATGCAGAGCTAGTTAACACGCACGAACCTGCTTTGCTGTGTTGCATAAACGCAGGCCCGTATGGTTATAGGCCACGAAAGTATGAGGAAAATTTTGTTTCTGTTTTGTGAATGATGAGTGTATTGTTATGTGTACATGAGAAGTACGACTCATATTTTCCACGGAATACAAATAACTTCATAAATGTAAGATTTGAGGTTTTCACGGCGGTTACTATGAAGAAAGCCGTCTTCTGGGATGTGGCGTGGTGTAGAAATTGTGCTAATCGACGTTCCGAAACGTCGATTAACACAATTTCTATACGGCGCCACATCCCAGAAGACGGCTTTCTTCAACTTTATAAATATTCGTAGATACTTTCCCTTACAGAATATTCTTCCAGATTTATGTAAATAGAGATCCATAGAGACCAATTCAGTAAAATACAAATTCCTAGAACTTGAATCAGTGTGACACTACCCTAAGTTTCTTTCGGAAAAGCAACGATTTTATTGTACAAACGTGCAGGAGTTAAAAACACTGTTTTCTATGTACATTTCTAAGAGACTACACCACCTCGCATTTCATGAAATATGAGTAGCAATCTACATATATACAGATGCGAGAATCTCAGATCTTCATGCGAAAGTTAAACAGCCGTTTATTATAGCGAGCCTCTAAATCTTGTGTTTTAATCAAAATAATTTCCTTCTGAGCTTTATTCCTAGTTCATTTTAGTAACGAATGACTTTTTTCTGGAATTACTGTGTCTAAAATGTCTCTGAGTGTGCGTCATCATCAGACAGTGACGTAGCCTATTACGTCATCGCTAGAAATTACTAGAATCTATTCTCAGCATATGATGGGAACATAAATCGATATATCGAGGATCTCGTTGCACAGCTACGATGTCTCTTCCATGTTGTCGCCTATTCAAGGTGTGACGTATCCTCAACGATGTTTTGGAAAGACAATAGATGAAATTATTCCTCTATTAATATCGATTTCAACAGGCCATTTTCTAGTAACGAAATATTTAGTACTGACGTCAAGTCTTGTTCTCTTGGCCAGACTAGTTTGTCTAGAAACTGAGGTTCTCAAAGCAGTGGTTATAAAGTGTTTTATCTTCTGGAATTTAACGCCATGCAGTGCGTTAAAAGTCAACAGAAGTTTCGTAGGAACATGTCGCCTCTATCTTCAGGGTCGAAGAATAAGGCAAATAAGAAATCAGTGTGAAGCAGGTGGTAGAAGGCAGATGCAGGCGATATGTTCCTCCGAAACGCCGGTTGACTTTCAACAGACTACACAATGTTATATTGCTGAAGATAGAAATCTTCAGACATATCCACCCTAAGCAGAAGGCAATAGATCTGCTGAAAGCCGCCTAATAACATATGAGGTATATAACCAGCAAATGAACTGAGGGCTCTTTCTCAGGGGTAAACGGTGCGTGTAGCTGATCACTTACTAGTGCCGACGTCATGAAAAGGTAGATATATACATCCATTCCCGCATACGCTTTCATGGTGTCGCGCTTAATTAGTTAAGTACAGAGACAATTTTACATTACCTTTAACCAACGAATTTCCTGTACTTGAAAAGAACCACTAACGCTTATACTCAGTCCACCAGCAGATATTTCCCCTAAGGCGCTTGGAGACATAAACGAGGGAAGGGGACACTTAACTGTGTCTCATAGTTTCCTTTGAAGCTTGATTCAATAAAAGCGCTTGATATTACGGACCTAAATTTGAGTTCTTAGAAGAACAGCTTTCATAAATCTGGGAAGAACATGACACCTCGAAATATAATACAGCACCTGTTCTTCGCGTCTCTTTTGAGATCAGATTTCCTGTCTCATCTTTCCAACCGTCTTAATCAAGCAAGGAACAGTCATTAAGGTTCCCAAGAAACTAAAGCACAAGTAAAGAAACCTCGTACACAAGAAGTGACAATGAAACTAACCACCAAAGAGCAAACTCACGGATGCTACGTGCCAGAGCACACGATGGTTTCTCTTCATGTGACCCTTTTTCTTGATCCTAAAGTCACATTGATCTGAGATGAACATAGACGATCGTTACTTTGCAAGAGTAAATTACAAATAAGAGGACTAAAGAAAAGATATTTAAATAATTGCATGTAATGGTTCTTTTACACTTATGAAAAATAGTAACAAATAAAAATACATATAACTGGGAAGAAATTTTTCATCATGAAGAATTCCGTCTTCTCGGATGTGGGACTTCGTACATTTTGTAGGAACCGACGTTTCGGACGGACGTATCACCACAATCTTCAGGGTAGAAGAATCCGCGAGCGAGGAACCAGCGTGAGCAAGTGGCTGCAGTCTGCAGTATACCCTGAAGATGAAGGCGATACGTTCTTCCGAAACGTTGGCTCATACAAGATCCACATGGTGCCACATCCCAGAAGATGGCATTCTTCATAGACAACGCCGTGAAAAACTCAAATCTTAAAATCTGTCAACAGTTCAGAAGCTTTTGTCTCTCCGTGTCCATTACAGAAACATAAACATTAAAGAAGAAGATGGAGGCGATACGTTCCTCCGAAACGTCGGTTAACACAACATTTACAGGGCGCCATATCCCAAAAGACTGCTTTCTTCAT